GCATGCAGACACTGAACTTTCCTCATAGAGATGCATTGATTCAATGAATCTATATGAGGAAATGCTGATTGGCCAGAGCTGTTTGAATTGTGCTGGCTCTGCCCCTGATCTGCCTCTTTGTAAGTCTCAGCCAATCCTATGGGGAAGCATTGTGATTGGATCAGGCTACCACTTCTGGTGATGTCAGCAGGCAGTGGGCAGGTCTAAAGGAAACAGGAACAGAGGCAGCAGCTCCTGACTTGAATACAAGTAAGATTTTACTATATTTAGGGAGGCATGAGGAGGTCAAGGGGGCTAGATGGTGGTTTTAACCCTATAGGGTCAGGAATACATGTCTGTGTTTCTGACCCTATAGTGCTCCATTAATTAATATGTAATGCGTGTGATTTCACATGTAAGTGTGTGGATATATTTGTGTATATACACTGCCTGACTGCATATGTAATATGTGTACTATGTAACTAAATGTATTCATATGATATCCTTTGGGTGTTGACTGGACATATCCAAGTAATGTGTCTGTGTGTGCACATTGCATGTGAGTGTAACATTGCAGATTAGCTGAAATGTTACAATTTAATTTCATACACTAAAATGTTTTCTTATATTGAGCCGCATTAATATTGCCTCTATTATTGTGTTTACAATATGTTTACTTTTTTCTTTTTGATGTCACATTATATGTTAGCTACCAAGATATGCATGATTAAGCCATAGAGCTTGGTACATTATTAGAACTAGCAATGCAGAATTATGCACAGCATAGAATAGAATGTTAGTTCCATTTCTAATTTCTGTGCTTTCCTGAGATATTACCTTGGACCTGGTGTATGTCACCGGCCAGACATTCTTAACTGTGTATGTGGTATATATTCTGCTATGGCAGATTTAATTTGAATTGGCAAGATTAAATTCCCTTAAAGACATGTTGTCATCTTTTATATAAAAAATAAAATAAAAAATGAATGTAATGCAGCCCATGTGTTCATTATTTTGTAATGAATATATATATAAGTTAATAACTCTTTGTCATTTGCCATCTATGAATATAAAAAAACAAAACTACATTTGTGTTACTGTTCATAATAGAAAAGCTCTTGGCTAAACATATTGAGTAGTAACAAATTAGAACATTTTTACAATCAAGTATTTGTGTACAGTTTCCAATTTAGTTCTACAATAATTCAAGCTATAATGAATTATTTTCATTGATATCAAACTTCTTTTTAGATTTTAAAACAATAAAATTGGAGCACTACTCCTGTGTGTACATGCTATTTTCAGTTTATAGAATGAATTAGTCTATTACAACCAGTACTACGTGCGTTGATATTTTTAATAAAATAATACAATCTAATTGCGTTATCGTGTAAACTGAGTGTTTATAAACCCTTGGGTGTACGTTTCAGGTTTTTATGACTAGGAAAAATTTAAAAAATATAATAAAATAAATCATAATAAAGAAAGCAATTAGTGAATTTGGCATTATATTAATATAATAGTCAGTCCATTAGGGAGTAGTGGAGAGAAAACAATACAATGAATATTGTAAAGAATAAAGTTCTTCTCCAACCCTAATTATATTATTGGAAAAAATTACAGATAAGGCATTTGGAATTGCTTCCTATAATTGGTAGGTTACCAATAATGAGCCCAGCTGGGAGAGATATAGCTGCTGGCTTGACCATGGTCTCAGTGATAATTTCTCTCTGAGGTTGCACCTCTGATGGTATATCCTGGAAATTGGTAGACCCAGTTGAAGGAATGGAGTTACATCTGATGGCAAGCAGTGGGATCTGCTACCATTCAGAGGAGAGAGCTGCCGGGAAGAGATCAGCAGATCATTGGAAACTAACAAGTACTTTAGCAGTACAAGGTCGATTGAGAGGAGATAGTAATGTAGGAAAAAGTGTTACTGGACAGGTATGATCTGAATGGTGACACCAACAGGAGACTATTTAGCGGAGAATGACTAAAAACAGCTTACACTAACACTGATTGGGCCAGCAGAGGGTTGCTGTTGACACGAACCACTATATTTCAGGAACTCCATTACTACACCTACTAGAACAATTCTACCAACACAGCAAGGAAGTACTCAACTGTGTGAGAGATAGTAAGCCTCTCACCTTGACAGAGGCTGCCAGGCTGGAGGATGGATATGTAACCACCCAGAGCCTCAGCCCTGTTGCAACTGAACAGTCTTGTGCCAAAGGACCAGCTGCACTTTTTAATGCAGTGCAACAAGTTAGACCTCTGGCTCAAGGCGGTCTATACTGTGCTGGGGCTAACAGATTAACTTTGCTTTGATATAGCCTTATTCTGTCCTCCTTTCCTTCCTCTTTTCTTTAATATCCCCCCCCATACCCAGCCACCCCATATGTGCTCCTCACCCTCCCTCCCTGTAATGCAAGTATTGCATTTCCCTCCAGACCCTGTCAACCAACCTCACTATCCACTGCTAACCCCTGCCCTGCCAGTCTCTGTTATCCACTATCCTACTGGTAACTCCTTCCTGAAAGTCCCTGTTGTCCGCCCATCCTACTCGTAACCTCTTCCCTGCCAGTCCCTGTTATCCACCCATCCCACTGGTAACCCTTTCCAGCCAGTCCCTTTTATCTGCCCATCTAACTGGTAACACCTTCCCTGCCAGTTCCAGTACACTAGCTTACAGGTATCATGTATCTGTTATTCTTATGGTGTACTTTGTATGGATGTCAGCATAAAATGTAGAGTGGTTAGTTTAAACAATATTAGAGATTTTGTAACATACTCTGTGCTCAGTCTTTCCAAGGTAATTACTTACTGGACAAAGAGTCCAAACAAAGTGCACCCACTATTGAATTCCCATTTATATTTGTTTTTACATGCTGTTGTGAAGCACAATAAATGTATTTTCCTAGTCATACATGGCAGCATCACATATGGGTAAGCTCCTCCTCCCAGCTGTCAGGACAGGAATAATTAAACAATTAAATCCAATAAAAGCCCCCTCTCTCTACACCCCTCAGTCTTTTTTTCCAGTCCTGGTTGACAGACAGACTGGCGTGCAGTTTTCAGCGATGGCAGGTCCAGCATCGCAGCCTCGGGACTCTCGCGCGGTAAGTCCTTATAGCCGTGCGGGCCCCACCTAGTGGTATAAAAGTATACTGCGGCTAGATTTTGTCCGGGAAATTAAAATATTCAAGCATTTAAGTGTAGGCTGCCTTGGCTTTCTGCATTCACCCAATTGCATGTGAAATATTTAAATATTTCTTAAATTATTTTAATTTAGTAACCTTGTTTTTATTAGATGGATTCTTCTCCCACCTCCCTTAGAAGCGTATCTAGAAAGAAAAAAAAAAAGGTGAGTCCAGTTCATGGGGGTACAAAAAGAGTGCATTGACGGTCTGAAAGTATTAACATATGGCCTTGTCTTTTCAGCCCTAGAACTTCTCAGGATTCATCTCCAAGAAAGAGGACACAGAAAACTAAGCGCTGTATGGGCTGCGGTTCAAAAGCCCCAGAGGGGAAGAACCTGTGCTTCCAATGTATAGAAGAAGTAGCAGAGAGGTAATCTAAAAGAAACTCACCCCAAACAGACTTCAGATGCCATCTCTGAAGGGTTTCAGTCAGCATCTAAAAGGGGCAACCAAAAGGTATAGAGAAGCTTCTGTCTCTTCGGGATCTAGCCTGGAGCTATATGATCCATTTTTAGAAGATAAGGAGTACTGTGAATACTGGAAATCTCTAGACTCCAGGAAAGTGGACAAACTAATATCTCTGGTTAGAAGCACCTTAAAAATCCCAGAAGATAGCAGGAAAGTATCAGCTTCAGATGTCTTCTTCGAAAACTTGAGATCTACTTTTCCGCTGCACTCGACTATAAAAGAATTGATCCATTCTGAATGGTCCAAACCAGAAAAGAGACTAGCTCTGCAAGCGAAAGTGAAAAGAATGTACCCATTTGCATCAGAGGAAGTAAAGCATTGGGAAACCATTCCAAAAATTGACACTGCTGTGATCCGATTAGCAAAAAAGACCATTCTTCCTATTGATAGCATGGCGTACCTGACAGAGCCTATGGAAAAAATAATGGACTCTAATCTGGTTAAACAATATCTGGCAATTGGGTTGGGATTACACCCAGCGGCAGCTTTAAAGTCAGTAGCCAGAAGCATAAAGGTCTGGATTGGGAATCTAGAAGAAGACATAACCAGTGGCACAAGCAGAGAGAACTTTCTGGAATCCCTGAAAGACATAAAACAGACTTAATTTCTGAATCTGCTTTAGATGTCTCAAAATCTCTGTCGAAAGCCTTGCGTTGTCTGTGGCGGCTAGACTACACCTCCAAAGCCAGCCTTTGTGCATTACCTTTCCAAGGGGAAAGATTATTTGGTAAAGTCCTGGATGATGCCATTCAGAAAGCTACAGATGGGAAGAAAGCATTTCTACCACAGTCAAACAGAAGACCCTACAGCGCACCCTACAGGGACAAGTTTAACAATGAGAGGTCATTTCGAGATAGTAGGTCATACAAGCCAGGAAGAGAATATGGTAGATCCCAGTGGAGATTTCAATCCTCTTCCTCCATTAGAGGATCTAGGGGTAGAGGTACCCGCCAGAACACAAAATCATTATGAAGGTCGGGACGTCCAGACTGGAACAGTGGGGGGGGGGGCGTTTAAAACACTTCTTTCCAGTTTGGGCAACATCCATCAAAGACAAATGGGTCCTGAGCATAACCAAAGAAGGCTACAAACTAGAATTCAAAGAATTCCCCCAAATTTTCATGTTTCATCGATCAAGGGTGTCAGCAGGCGTAAAACGGAAGGCAAAGGAGAACTGCCTTAAGCAGTTGATCACTCAAGGGGTTATCAAGCAAGTCCCTCAAATGGAGGAATGCAGAGGATTCTATTCAAATGCACTTTTAGCTCCCAAACCAAATGGAAAATGGAGACTTATTCTGGACCTAAAAAGAATAAATCTATATCTCAAGAACATGTCTTTTAAGATGGAGTCTATTGCATCCATAAAACAGGCCATTCATCAGGGCGACTGCCTAACATCGATAGATCTGAAAGATGCATACTACCAGATCCCGATACATCAATCCAATCAGAGGTTCCTGAGGTTCTGGATGTCGGTAAAACACTATCAGTTCCAGGGCATGCCATTTGGTCTAAGCTTGGCACCAAGAATGTTCTCGAAGGTTCTCATAACAGTTATTGCAATCCTGAGAAAGAGAGGGATCCAAGTATTCCACTACTTGGCGATATCCTGGTAGTAGCACAGGAATACCACACAGCAGTCCATCAGACAGAAGAGGTGATCTTTACTCTGCAAGAATTTGGGTGGCTCACAAACAGAGACAAAAGCAATCTCATTCCATGCAGGCACATAGTGTTCCTTGGAGCAAGTATAAACACAGAAGCTTCAACTATCTCTCTATCCCAAGATCGCATTGCTCGGATCAAGAATAAGATTTTAAAAATACTTCCAAGAACAAGACTTCGAGCAAAAGATTACATGAGTGTCCTGGGATCGCTTACGTCGACCATAGTCCAGGAGGTCTGGTCAGATGGGCACATTGGAAGACGAGACAGAACTTCCTCACACAGATTAACAAGTCAGCAATGAACTGGGATTAATGGATTATAATTCCCCAAGACCTGAAGCTTCAACTAAGGTGGTGGATAGAAGGATCCAACTTGACCAAGGGTTTTCCCCTGGAAGATCCCCAATGGGACGTTATGACTACAGATGGAAGTACAAGAGGATGGGGAGCTCACTACAAGCACCCAATCTCAGTTCTGAGAGTGGTTTAGAACTTCAGTTCAGAGCAGTGAGGGGAGAGCAAAAACTTCATACGATAGCATTGCATGGCCTGGAAAAGTTGGATAAGTGCCATAGGATAGTGATGCAGAGGTAGCAATGTAAGAGGGAGAGAGCCAGAAGTAAATTGATGTTGGTAGCCCAACTAATATTTTTGACAGCCCATATTAGATTTGCAGCAATTTTCACAAATAACTGAAGTTCTAAACCACTCTCAGAACTGAGATTGGGTGCTGGTTCCTCCTTGCACCATTCACTTTGCAATTATTTAAAGTTGTCATGATGCTTGGAGTGACTCTTTAAAAAATATATATTAATGGGGGGCGTGGCCTGGCTACTCACGGACATGGACGAGTGAGAGCTGAGCTCCACCGAGGGTGAGACCGAAAACAGCGATTATCATAGCGTTACCTGCCATCCACGAATGCAGACATCACTAATAACCCGCCTAGACCAGAGATGTCACATAAACAACGAAAAAACCAAGCTGTGCCCGGCAGCGCTGCAAATTAAAGCGCTCACACCAACTAGAATTAAGATGGCAATGGCAGCCCCTCATCTCCAGCAGCACGCTCAGATTGGAGCGATAGCACATCAATCTCCCAAATGCACACAGCACCTGCCTCTGAAATAGCCTTACAGAGAATGCTGCATGACTTACAACAAACCTTGCAAACAGACTTCACAAAGCTTGCTCGTGATGTCAGATCTGACATTCAAGCTATAGCAGAACGCACCTCACAACTAGAGGACAAAACAGAGGAAATCATAACGGCCCATAATAATCTGGCTGAGGCCTATGAATCCTTTGAGGTGAGGCTAACAGATCTAACAGCGAAAGTGGCGGATCATGAAGACCGCGATAGAAGAAATAATATTGCGCAGCATACCAGAGGATATCACACCTCCAGATCTCCATGGCTATGCCATATCACTATTTAAATCAATATGCCCCGACCTAACAGATGCTGATCTATGCTTAGACCGCATACATAGGCTGCCTAGACCGCGGTTTCTAGCAGCTACTGCACCAAGAGATGCGCTAACGAGAGTACATTACTTTACTACAAAGGAGACCATTATGAGAGCTGCGAAGAACCCAGACAATATCCCTAAGGAATACACAGGTATCCAGCTCTTTACCGATCTCTCTGCAGCAACATTGGCAAAGCGCAGAGAACTAACACCTATCACCAAAGCGCTGAGAGAAGCGGACATGCCTTATAAGTGGGGATATCCAACACGAATAATTCTTCGGCGCAAAGGAGTGGAGCACCAAATCCGCAACATCGTAGAAGGTACCATGCTGCTAAAGGAATGGAACCTGAACGTGACATTACCAGAAGCTAAGGAATTTCCTGATAAACAGCGCAAATCGCCCACAAAGATCCAAAAGGAACGGTCCTCTTTGTCTAAGCAAAAGTGACTGTCCCCACTGGACTTTAACAGTACCAAATGTACCAGTTAAACTGGGTTCCATGACGTGAAGACACGTGAGTTTATAACCTAGAGAGTTCATACAATGCTATTAGTTTCATTTTTTACCTGTTTTTCTTTTATCTTACTTCTGTTGTAGGATAAGTTATGATATGTATAACTGTATTCCTAGTATACACGTAAACGTCACTAGGCAGTGAAAGTTAACTATAACAAAATGCAACGCATAAGATAGGGTTGACAGGCTACGAATATGCACTGCATCCTCCCCCCGATTGGGCTCCATGGAGCTACTAGATCCATCTGGGGAAATAGAGGGTTGTTACCCGCTCTCCCCACTGTATATAGTTGCCCTAGGGCACCCTACCCAACTTACACCTCCCACTCCACCTTTATCCATTTCACGGTCCATACCGTCTTATCGACTAACTAGCACAGCCGAACAGATCAGACCACAAACATATCGCATACAAGATAAACCCTGGCACATACCTGAGGAGCTCAATAAAATTAAATTAGGCACAATCAAAAGGGCACATATTAAGACATTAAAATGTTGGCTCTAACCGTCCTATCGTTGAATGCCAAAGGTTAAATTCTCCTCATAAACGGAGACTGGCACTCAATGAAACCAAGCAACGGAAGGCACAAGTGGCTTTCTACCAAGAAACCCACTTTTCAAAAGCCAAAATGCCCAAAGCAAAAAGCCAAAATGCCCAAATTCTCCTCTAAACAGTACCCTGTGGGTTATCACGTAGGATATGCAAAACGAAAGAGAGGTGTATCGATCTTGATTAGTAAGGAGGTATCCTTTACATTATGCAAAAAATTTGGGGATAAAGAAGGCAGATTTATCCTTCTTCAATGCCAGATTAACAATGAACAGTATACTCTGGTGAACATATATGGCCCACAGGAAAACCAAGCAATGTTCATTGACAAAATAATATCTCTTACACTAAAGTATGCATATGGTAAACTGATCATAGGAGGGGATACCAATTTTCTCCTAGAAATCAATTTAGATACATCCTCAGATGCCACAGTATCTCACAAAACTACCCAAAAACGGTCAATAGCAACATCCCAACTCAGACATCAAATACATAGTGCGCATTTGGTAAATGTCTGGCGTATATTTCATTTAGCAGAAAAGGATTTCACATTTCATTCACATGTATATAACTCATACTCCAGAATAGATAGGTTTCTTATCCCCAACTCCCTTATATCGACTGTACAGAACACACACATAGGATATATAACATGGTCTGACCATGCCCCCATCACCATAACGCTGACAGAGAAATACCCAAACAAAGGGCGAGGCTCATGGCGGATTAATGAATCACTATTACGAGACCATAAAATACTCAAACAAATTAGAGAAGACATTACAATGTACTTTGATACCAACTGCTCAGACACTATGAAAATAGACACACTATGGTAAGCACATAAGGCGGTGATTCGAGGGTCTCTGATCAAACATGCCAGCCATGCTAAAAAAATTACGTTTGTCAACATATGATAATCTTATACAGCAAATTAAAGCTATTACACATGCCAACAAACAAAACCCAACAAAGACACAATATGACCAACTAAAGACACTGCAATCCCAACTTAACGAAATAGAACTAGACAAAACGAATTATATTTTACAGAAGTGTTATCACACATTTTTTGCTCAAGGAAATAAATCAGGAGCAGTATTAGCATCTAAACTCAAAGCCCGCGCTGCTCACTCACGAGTAGCATACATTATATCCCAGAAAAAAAAGAAACTAATGAATCCACAGGATATTGTGGAGGAGTTTGCGACCTACTATAGCACACTCTACAACCTAAGGAGCACACACACCCTAATAGAGTCACAGATCCAAAACTTTCTGTCCACAGTTGATCTACCTAGTCTCACAGAATCAGAAATAAAAACGATTACCAGCCCAATCACGTGTCAGGAAGTGCAACAATTCATAGCTAAGATGCCAGCACATAAATCCCCTGGTCCAGGCGGCCTTTTCAACCTATATTACCAGACGTTTTCCGACCTACTGACGCCACACCTTACCAACCTCCTAAACCAATGTTTTTACACTGGGTCAATGCCAACTGACATGCTACTGGCGCATATATCCACATTGCCAAAACCAGGGAAAAAAGCAGATGTCTGCCAGAACTTTCGCCCTATTTCTCTACTAAATTGCGACACGAAAATCTATGCTAAGGTCCTGGCAGAGAGGCTGAAAGACATACTTTCACGCATAGTTCACAACGACCAATCCGGTTTTATTAAAAATAGGCAAGGATCAGACAATACAAGGAAAATACTAAACATCCTGGGCCATATGGAGACACTCGATGGAAGGTCTTCTCTTAGCACTGGATGCGGAGAAGGCCTTCGATAGACTGAATTGGAAATATATGGAACATGTTCTTGGTAAATTTGGGTTCTCCAGAGCGTTCATCAGAGGTGTCCTAGACCGGTTGGATAGAGCTGGGTATCACCCACCTTATAGACTTATGCTCACAGGGGAACTTTCTATCCTTCCCAGCGCTACAGACCAAATATAATTTACCTCCGTCATATATATTTCCATATATTCAATTGAAAAGTATATTTTCAGACAGGGTGCTTCATATCACAACATAAGTACCTGAGCACGGCACGACCTTGCTTCAAATCTATGATAGATGTAATAAAAACCCGATCAAGGCTAAGTCCTTATCTTTTAGCTACGCAGCCTTGGGTCAAAATACACCCCAACCAGAATTTCCTTTTATAAATCAATGGAACAAAAGAATACCAACTAACTATAACGAAAGATCAATGGTTGCAATCGCTCACGGCCCTGAAAGGCTCCACATCTTGCTACTCCCACATAGAGGCTCACAAATTGATATCTTACACCAGACAGATTGAACAAAATATATCTGCTCTCCTCACCATCGTGTTGGAGATGTGAACTATCTAGAGGTACGATGAGCCACATTTGGTGGCAATGCCCTAACATTGAACCACTGTGGAAAGAAACCCAAACATTGTGCAATTTGTTGGGTGTTCTACATAGCCCCTTGTCATTAGAGATGGGACTTCTTCTGTTATTCCCAAAGCACATCTCCCCATCTGATAAACAATTACTTATACTTATTATCTTGGCAACACGAAACCTCATAGCAAGTTACTGGAAAAACAGAGAATGT